AATGGGTGCATTAGCTATTGTGGGGTTAATTTGTTGTTTAACATCTCTCATTGTTTGCTCTTTAGTTTGCTGCTTTTTAGGCTTTATAAATAATGTCTTTTCATGACAAACATATTTATCTTCGTGCTCCTTCACACTATTGCGTTTAGAAATTTCAGCATATGTCGCTGGCTTTGATTTATCTAAGTTTTCTATCTTTTTCTCCAAACTTTCCAATTTTAAGCATATTTCATCCCTACTTCTGTTCTCCTCCCAGACTCTTTTCAAAGAACTTTTGCATTCTGTGCACAACCAAGTAATTAGAAATTTTACAGCTTCAATCTGATTCAACTGTTTCTTGCTTATATTTACACAAGCTGTGTGATACCACGCTTGACACTTTCCCTCGTGAGGAATATGGCGTACAACATGTAACGTACTGTAGGTGCTGTCATTGTCGTTTCTTTCTTCGGGTGGCTGGCAGTACCTTGTTATATAACTGGTGTTCTCGACATATTCAGCAAATTCTGCAGCTGAGTAACTGGAAGTACTGTTAGCTCTTAAAGCTACAGAAGCGCTTTGCTCTACTACACCGCAAAGTACAAAACCAGTTAACACGAATGCTGCTAACACTTGTCTTGATCCAATTTGCTCTAAAATTCATTTACTTATAAGATGTAAAATATAAACTTTGTTGCAGTCTTGCATGACAAAACATATTAAATGGAATTTTCATTAATCTATAATGCCACTAAATTATATCTAATTATAGTATAAACTGAAACAACAGAAGGTTCGAGGCAAAAATGTGAATCTATTAACAGTTTGTCGAATCATAAGTACACAAAATATAGCTGTTAATATGAAATTGCAACAATGGTCACGAAAAGCTACCTGGTCATATTAAAAAATTACATAAAAAAGTAATGATAATTGAAAAAATTGCAAATTGATGATGGCAGGCTCATTTCGCTCTTAAAAATTAACCAAAAGATGAGTTGACATGAATCAAAAAACAAAATGCTTAGGATTCATGGTTCTAACCGTAAAATGATATTTTAGGAAAATTTACACACGAAATTGTCACACAGGGTGTTTTAAAGTTAAGGTAAAAAAATCAACCCTTCGATTAACCCTGTATAATATGCCAAATTGCCAAATATGCCAAAAACTGAGTTTACGAATTAAAGTTAATATATTTATATACAGTTTGTTAAAAAAATCATGCAAATATGGCTGGAAATAAAAAATATATAACACTTTAAATTTGACGAAAAATTTCTCTGTTGCGTTTTTTTGCATCCGAGTCTTAAGTTGGTGGTTGAGAAAAATAATCTTTTAACGTTCAAAAGAGTAACATCCTCTAATACTATACGAATTATAAAATATACGGAGTGGTCCGAACTGTATTTCGAAAACTTCGGCAGCATATTCAGCAGATAAAAATAAGTGAAAAACTTTGTATAAATGTATACCTAAAAATACTTAGTTTCAGAGATACAAGATGTAGAAGTTTCATTTTTATTTCGATTTTTTCCAAGTAATTTCTGAAGTAATATATATATTTGCATTAAAATTGATGTCTGCGAGTTTTTTGATATTAGAAATTTGATTTTGATGTCAATATGACTCCTATTTGTAGGAGGCGCCACCTACATGTGTTTTAACTATTTTGAAGAGTAATAACTTTTCGTCCGTACCTGTATAAAACTACTGAGTGAAAAAAATATACATTTCCGTGATTTTTTACGTAAAAAAATCGCTACGAGCAACCGTTCTCAAGATATTTAGAATGGAAATAGTCATTACATGTCATTATTGACAAAAAATAACATGTTGAGTAGATAGTTATTTGACAGAAATTATAAATTTGAGCACTTTTTTTTATTTTTTTAAATTAATCATAAATCTTTCTTCGAAAAAATGAACCAGTTTCTGTTGAACTTTTGACACAAAATCATTTCAAATTTATGATTGCAGTCTGACTAAATATTTATTAGACATGATAATAATTATAGTATTGATAATTTCGATTCTAAATATCTTTAGAACCATTACACGATTTTTACCAAGAGATCTTTTTTACGTAAAAACGTCGCAAATGTATATCTTTTACTCAGTAGTTTTATACAGGTATGGACGAAAAGTTATTACCCTGTAAACCAGTTAAAAAATGTGTAGGTGGCACCCTCTACAACTAGAAGTCATATTGACATCAAAGTAAAATTTCTCATGTCAAAAAACTCCCAGACACCAATTTTCATCCAAATGTTGACGTTACTTCAGAAATTATTTTGAAAAAATCGTAATAAAAATGAAACTTCTACACCCTGTAACTCCGAAACTAAGGAGGAAACTTTCCGGAATACATCCTGTCACTTTTTTGTTGTTTTGTTTCATTAATGACTTTATGTTGTCTTCACATTTATAAATTACTGAATGCTCTTATAAATGAGATAATAATTGTTTTCCAAGAACTATACATACAGAGTCGATTTTTGATTGGATCTCTCTAAGATTTTTATTTTTTTGTTTGGTTCAATAACTTCATTTTTAATTAATATACCTTATACAATAAAAGCACTGAGGTGTGGCAGCTGGCATCTCAGAACTGTGCACAGGCATGTGTTATGGAAACTAAACGGCTGCGCAACGGGCATCAAACGGCGCGATGGGAACCATTGGAACGGCGTTTGAACAGCGGTGCAGAAAGCCCTGGAAAACTACTGCACTATGATTCCAAGAATGACAACCATGGCAGAAGTACAACAGATGATGGCCCCTAGTCCGTGGCAGGCTTTCAATAGCCAAGGGGTGCTAAGAATACCCACGAAAAAAATGCTAGGACCCACCCGAAAGTGGACACATCTCCAGGTCTTAAGCTGGGAACCTGGAATGTAAGAAGCCTGTATGTGGCTGGTAAGCTGGATAATTTAACACAAGAAATGGAACGCTGTAAGGTAGATATAATGGGCCTTAGCGAAATCAGATGGCCGAACAGCGGCCAATGTACAACCGAAAAAGCAACACTATACTACTCCGGAAACAATCAACCTAACCGCTTTAATGGGGTTGGATTCATAGTCAATAAAAACGTGAACAACAAGGTAAAGAATTTTGTGGCATATTCGGATAGGTCAGCCCTCCTGCAGCTCAAGGCTGATCCCGTAGATCTTAACATCATACAGATTTACGCTCCAACGACAGACAGGCCAGAAAACGAAGTAAAACAACTATATAAGGAAATAAAAGAACTAATGAAACTGGTGAAGAAGAGGGAGATCCTGGTGGTTATGGGTGACTTTAACGCCAAAGTCGGTCAAGGCCGCGTGACAGACGTGGTCGGGGAGTATGGCTTAGGAGAACGCAATGAAAGAGGTGACACGTTAGTTCAGTTTTGCCAAGAAGAAAAACTGATCATCGCAAACACATGGTTTAAACTTCCCCCAAGAAGGCTATACACCTGGCAGTCACCGCAACACACACCAGATTATGTCGTCAGGAACCAAATAGACTTTCTATTAATCAGCCAAAGATATAGAAATGGATTAAGTGGAGTAAAAACATATCCAGGGACCGATATTGGATCGGACCACAACCCGGTAATAGGAACACTAAAAGTAAGACTAAAGAAATTAAGACGGGCGCCGAGAAAGAAAGTCGACATGAACAAATTAAAGAAAGCTGAGATAAGAGCGGAAGCAAAGGAGGAAATAAATAGGGAAATTGCCAAAATCAGGACCCTGCCTCAACCACCGGATGATGTCGGAAAAACATGGGACCGTTTGAAGAACGCAATAGTCACCACTACAAATAACATAGTTGGACCACCTACATACAAAAGGAGGAGATGGATGACTGACGAGATTTTGTCGCTGATGGCTGAGCGCGGTCTGTGTAAGAATAGGGATCAAACCAAGTACAAAGAAATTGATAAACAAATCAGAAGGGAAATACGCAGAGCTAAGGAGCAGTGGATGGAAGATAAGTGCACTGAGATCGAGACAATGGAAGAAAAGCATGACCACTTCAATATACACAAGCTCGTAAAAGAAACAACAGGACGTACAAAACATTACAAGTCAAATAGTATAAAAGATGACAGTAACGAACTCATAACTGACATTAGCAGCCTACTGAACCACTGGAAAGAATACACCGAACAACTATTCCGCGAAAATGAACAGAGAATCTTTACGGATAATTGCGCTGGCGAAACCGCACCCAAAATACTAAAGTCAGAAATCATAAAGGCCATTAAACAGGGAAAACAGGGAAAAGCAGCAGGACCAGATGAGATTTATATAGAAATAATAAAACTGCTGGACGAGGAAAACATTGAAGTCTTGGTGCAAATGTTCAACAACATATATGAGTCGAGTCAAATACCACAGGACTGGCTACACTCGGTGTTCGTACCCTTACCAAAAAAACCCAATGCTGACCACTGTGACCAGTTTAGAATGATCAGCTTAATGAGCCAGGTCTTAAAGCTCTTCACAAAAATAATTCACGGAAGAATATACAACAGATGTGAAAAGGAGATCAGCACCACACAGTTTGGGTTTAGACAGGGATTTGGCACAAGGGAAGCATTATTCAGTCTGAGTGTTCTTCTTCAGAAGTGTCGAGACCAGCGAAAGAATGTATGCGTGTGCTTCATAGATTACCAGAAAGCCTTCGACTGTGTCAACCACTCGGAACTTATAAAACTTCTAGAGGAGAAAATGGTGGACAGGAACGACCTGGCATTCATAAAAAAGCTTTACTTAAACCAGATAGCATCGGTGAAGGTAGGAAATGAAACCACCTCTAGTTTTCCAATAGAGAAGGGTGTAAGACAGGGTTGTGTCTTGTCGCCTCTCCTCTTTAATTTGTATTCGGAGGCCATTTTTGACAGTGCCTTAAAGGACACAGACGACGGCATAAAGATCAACGGCTACGCGGTTAATAACCTTCGCTATACAATAAAAAAATGCATGAAAACGAAATTAAATAAGGATTTTCTTTAACGAACTTACCGTTTACCACCTTTGCCGCTTTTTGTAACTGAACACTACCTCGCTTCAAAGGACTCAATTTCGACGCCATCCTAACCCGAACACCATTAACTTTTTATTTTTCACATATTTTTCCAGTTCCATTTGTTCACCGTCATATTTCAAACCCACCTTTGTGTTTCTTTGTATATTCACAGTCCAGAATTTTATTTATTCTTTACGCTGGCACTATTTAAAGCCATATAAGGACCAGTTAACTGAGTAATAGCCTAGTTCAGTTTGAGTTTTATAAGGTAATTGAAGTTATTACGGATGGGCTTCTCGAGTGGGAGCCTGGTGTAGGATAAAGGAAATAAAGTATCTTAGGTGATATAAAGCGGAGCTGAATTCATTCACTTAGAACACAGGGAAGTGTATGTGGACGAAAGCGTAAAGTGTTTTTTAATTGGTACTTAAATTCGGTACTTAAAAGTTTACTGTATTTTTATCAACTGTTTTACGGTTTTACCAGAATATTTTATGGTAATATATATTATGGTATAAGCCTTTATTTTTCCAAAAAATCCTTTATGGGTATTTCGCCACTGCACTGCAAGAAAATCTACAAAATAAAATAGTTGTTTTTTGTAAACACTTCTGCGTTAAACCTAAAGGGACACTGCTTGTCAGAAGTTATGTTTACAGTTATACAAATTTGCCTAACAAAGAAAAAAAAATGCATAACGTTTCGGAAAGTTTATCTCTTTCCGTCGTCGGAAGCAAAAAAATTCAAAGAATAAAGAAAAAAACTACTTAAAATATTTAAATTCAACTATTCGAGAACACTTTACTTTTTTTAAAACAGATACATCTACAAGAAACCGTTGACGTTCTGTTAAAATGACATTATATTAAGTTAAACCTTAAAATTAACAAGTACTAACTGATAACAATGTATACTAATATATACCTACTAATTTTATATAATCCTTAAGTGACTGACATACTGATTAATCACGGTCCTGCTCAAACCACTCAACGTAAGAAGCTCAATTTTGGCATACAGGTTGATTTTAGGGTGTAGAGGTTCGATAAGAAGGGATTTTTCGAAATTTCAGTTCCAAGAGGGTGAAACTACTACCCCTCAAATATTACAATATTTTTTATTTAAAAAACTGCCAAGTTTCCGAAAAAACGCTTAAACACGTATATTTTATTTTCTTTTTTTACATATTTTAAGATTTTTTAAAAATGTATACAGGGTGTTTCGAAAAATCTGGTCATTGATTAATCACGATCCAAGCGCTTTAAGCTTGACGTAAAAAGCTGATTTTTGGAATACAGATTGACTTTAGGGTGTAGAGGTTCGATAAGAAGGGATTTTTCGAAACTCGAATTCTAAGGGGGTAAAACTATCCCTCAAATATTAAAATATTTTTTATTTAAAAACCGGTGAGTTTTTCGGAAAAACTCTTAAACACGTATATTTTATTTCGGTGTTTTACATTTTTTAAGATTTTTTATAAATTTATACAGGATATTTCTTAAAATATGACCATTGAGTAATCACGATTCTGCTTAAACTGCTTGACGTTTAAAGCTGATTTTTGGTAAACGGATTGACTGTGGGGTGTAGAGGTTCGATAAGGAGGGGTTTCTCGAATCTCAGATTCCAAGAGGGTGAAAACGCCCCTCAAATATTACAAATTACAATATTTGTTTTTAAAAACGGTTAGTCTTTCGGGAAAACGCTTGAACAAGCATAATTTATTTGGTTTATTAAGTTGGGTAATTTCTAAACCACGATTCTGCTTAAACTGCTTGACGTAAAAAGCTTATTTTTGGCAAACGGATTTTTCGAAAGCCAAATTCCAACGAGATGAAACTACCCCTCAAATATTACCAAGTTATATAATAATATCGCCATATTGTTTTTTTTTCATGCTGACATAAATGTGAGAAAATTTTATCCAGTTTGTATGTTAATGGAAATTCTTGTTTTGCTTTTTATCATCACCAATACAAATGATTAAATCGACGCGAACGAAGTCGCTGGTACACGCTAGTTTTTGTATTTACATACATGCCAGAAATTAGCCATACAGCGATTTTACAAACGAGTTGTAAAACTAAAGAACGGATGGTAAATTTACTATAATAATCGGTGGCAAGAACATCCATATTGTTATTAAATTCACAAATTATTTTTTTCAGTGTACGTTTTTACTTAAAAAGGTCACTGGTAATGTTGACATTAACCGGACATCGGACCTTAACCGTAACACATATACCAAAAACAGTTATTTTTACCATTGAAATATAAATAAGTAAAATAAAATATACACATTGGTCCAAATTAAATATAGGTTAATGATCTACCTACCTTATTAGTACTTATCATTACCTATTATTTCAGGCACTAATTGCAGTACTATAAACTACATATTTAATTAATATGCACACAGTGTACCAGCATATATTATTGTTTATTGCAAAAGGATTATTGATATTCTTTGATTTAACCTGCATTATCCCTGACACACATTAGTATACTAGTGCGTAAATATTGTTATTATAAGTAAATATTAAGTAAAACACATTAATTTATTTAAACTAACCTATATATTTCTGTATAAACCTAAGAGAATATTTACATAGCTTATTCCTTGTACAAGACAAGTACAAATAAAATAAATAATAACACAAAAATCGATTGTTCTATCGTACTTCTTAAACACCCTGCGAAAAGACTTATTGATGTAGTCCTTAAGTTTAGACGATGACATTGAAAAGCCTCTTTGCAAAATTGACTACTGTGGCATTCTCCAGGATGTGGTTTATATACTAAAAAGGGAAAAAACACATAATAAGATATATAGGGTTGTTCACCACATACGGCACGGACTATTGTAGCTAAACGATTAGATTTTTACAAATTGTAAGTTTTGGGTTGGTTGAAGGACTATTAGAGCTACATTTTAAAAATATTTTTACGACATACAGAGTGTCCCAAATAAATAAAAAATATCAAAGTTGTATTTTTTTAAATGGAACACTCTGTATATTATTACATTTTTAATTTCTACGATTAAAATAAAGGTAAATTTGATTAAGGTTTACCGCACTTTAATCTCACCGTTTTTGAAATATTTTCAATTTTGTGAAATTGCAGTCAAAATTTTAAGGCTTCATTTCTCCAAGGGTATCAAAGTTTTTAATACTAAATATTTACTGAAGTTTATTTATTGATCACTTATTGTGTTGCAATAATAAAAATTATACTACCTTATACAGAGTGTCTAAAATTTTATTTTAAATAATTACTAGCTTTAAACGGCAATAACTTGTTTAATTTAAATGGAACACTCTGTATATTTTATGAGAATCAGATGCACAATTTAATTATCTATCAAATTGTATTATACCTTTTTTACCTATCTCTTCAAGTTTCTGTAGAAAATGCAATTTCTTGGAATTTAAAACACATTTATCAATATACCCATTTAATACTGACATTTTAGATTATTTTTAAAGATGTACCAAATTTTTAAAGAGTACAGATACTAATATTGTCGATATAGTTTGTTTATTTCATTAAGAAGTAAAAAAAAACTGTTTAAATATTTGTTAAAGAGGACCAATTTTATGATTCCAGTATTCAAACTACATTAATTGGCTGTTTGCGTTGATTAATAATAATTGCTCCAAATACTAAAAAACTGAATTTTGTATGTGTATTAGACAGTGTGGTAAAAAGTAACACACTGACAAATGCTTATTTATAACAACAGAGACATGCATTTTTATAACTTATTATTATATTGATTTCTGATTCAAATCCACATTTTTTATTTAGAATAATTTATTAACAAACATAATTAAGTATGTATTAATTAGCATTTGGGCGGAAATAATGGTGGTATATTTAATTAATGGTATACTCTTTTATAAAGATTTAAATAGTTTTCTTTTTGCATACAAATGGGCAAGTAATATTATCATTTTGCTAAAAACGATAATATTAATAGCCTGTACATTTGGTACATTTGTTGCTTTAAAAACAATCTAAAATGTCAATATTCCATGGGTATATTGATAAATGAGGTCTAAATTATAAGAAAATGCATTTTCTACGAAATCTTGAAGGGATAGGTAAAAAGTGGTATAATACAATTTGATAGACAATAAAATTCTGCATCTGATTCTCCTAAAATATACAGGGTGTTCCATTTAAATTAAACAAGTTATTGACGTTTAAAGCTTGAAATAATTTAAAATAAATTTTTAGACACTCTGTATGAGGTGGTATTATTTTTATTATTGCAACACAATAACTGATCAATAAATAGACTTCAGTAAATATTTAGTATTAAAAACTTTGACACCCTTGGAGAAATGAAGCTTTAAAATTTTTACTGCAATTTCACAAAATTGAAAATATTTTAAAAACGGTAAGGTTTAAGTGTAATAAACCTTAATCAACTTTACCTTTATTTTAATCGTAGAAACTAAAAATGTAATAATATACAGGGTGTTCCATTTAAGAAAATACAACTTTGATATTTATTTATTTGGGACACTCTGTATCTTGTAAAAATATTTTTAAATTGTAGCTCTAATAGTCCTTCAACAAACCCAAAACTTACAATTTATAAAAATCTAATCATTTAGCTACAATACTCCGTGTCGTATGTGGTGAACAACCCTGTATAAATTTATAAAAATATAATTACAAAAAAATAACTTAAAATCTTTTGTATCTCTGTAGGGGTAAGTAGCTTAATCCGTACCGCTTTGAACAAAAGTTAAAACATTTAAGCTGATCCCACACGATGTGTCACACTTTCCAACGTTGGACACATGAACATTTGCCACATTGTGTAGGAGACACACTTGTGAATTGCAATATTGTCAAAACCTATAGCCAGTCCTACACGTGTGGCATAGACTTCAACAATATTGCAAATGACAAGTGTGTCTCCTACACGATGTGGCAAATGTTCATGTGTCCAACGTTGGAAGGCGTTTGCCAACGTTTGGAACCAACGCTGGAAGTATCGTGTAGGACCGGCTTTAAGCCACCAAATATCATATGTAAGAAAATATTCTTTAGTATCAGAAAAAAATACACATGTTCAAAAAAAATCTTTCAGGCCATACAAATAAATCACAGATACAAAGAATATTTCAAATATCTATCTATTACTTCTTCAACGTGCAAACTTGCTTCTTAAAAAAAGCTTAGGTCAATCTCCCCAATGCAAATACAAAACAGATATTAAAGAGCAATAAGAAGCGATTTAGAAGCTAATACGGTATTGGCGTATATTTTCCTCCAATATTTTTTATGCATTATTTTTGATTTAAATATTTAATATGTTGAAAAAATTACTCTATTGAAGCCTTAATAAATATTTTAAAATTGGCTTTAAACTCTGGGCATAGATTAGGTATACTATATGTATACAGATAAAAATTTTATCCCTAATTCGTGGTACGAAAATTGTTTTTTATGACGATGAACAAACGAGTAAAATTTCCTGTGCGCAAAAATAAACTCGCGTAAAATAACAATAAACAGCGTAATAGAGAGATATCGCTAAACCGAATAGCGTGCATGGACGTTAATAACGCCAGGTGTTATTTCCTTTACGTGAGGTGGTATTAACTCTCTTCATTTACAGTTATCGGATCGGAAAGAATTCTGTTCGCGTCGCGTCCGCTATTTAAACTTAACCTAACTTTGAATTTAAAACTTTGAAATTGTTTTGTTTACTATTTTAAAACTAAAGGGCTAAAGTGCTTATATACTTCCAGTGCTTTATTGTTCAACGTCTGCCAGTGGGTTTATGGCTACAAATTCTCTTAGAAGGGCTAAATCGTCATTTGATGTAAACCTAAGCCTTTTTATAGGCTTTAATATTGGAAGAGGTGGAATCCATATTTTGGGCCATATTTATTTAATTAAAACTAATCCCAGCTACTTAAATATCAAATAACCTAATAAAACTAAAGTAATAATTCAAAACAATTCAAACATAACCTAAAATAAAAGATCTCGCCGGCCGGCCCCGGTTGTCAAATACCCGCACATGCCCATTTAAGCAATTTTAAACGTTATTTAGAAATAGCGTGGTGTAATTGATCCGCAAATTACGTCAGGCGGTAACGTTATTAGCGGGCGTTGCGTTAAAAATTGACTCGCGCATATCGTAACTGTCAAAATAAGGTACGCATAAATACTGCATGACGCTATTCGGTTTTCAGATATCTCTCTAAATAACTGGGCCGGTCAGGCGCTGTGCACAATTTTAGAGGCCATAAGTGGGCGTGCATATATGCGCAAACTAGTAACCTAACTAGCGCCCGATTCTGAAAATTGGAACCACGAAAAACAATTAAGAAAAAACGAAGTTTATAATCTGTATAATCTGTGATCTGGGTTTATATATTTACTTTAATTTTTATGAATGTTTTATACCTTTTTGATTTGTTCTTCAACAGATGGTTTGATTCCAGGCCATAATATGTCCAAAGCTTCTGGCGCCATCCTAGAAATGGCTTTGTTAACTAAATCACCAACTTCCTTGTCGTTCAGAAGGTTACTGAAGTAATTCTAAAATATAAATAAGTAATCAAAAAATAGTTATTATAGATGAAAGTTTTTTTAAGTAATAAAATAAAATTATTTGATTTTGTCATTTTCAATTATTTTTCAATATTATCAAAACTTTTTACTAGATAAAAAAACGAGATTAATTTATGTCAGTGTTATGATCCATAGGTCTTCTAGATTCATAGGTCTGTTGACTAGGACCCTTGGACCAAAAGCAAAATGTATCTTTTTCAAAAGCGGAAATCTTCAACAAAAAGTATAGCTATTGAGATGAACCAAAAAACAACATTTTGTTTTCCCCCGTATACTTGACAGATGAAAACTTTCATTTTTAATTTAGAAAGAAATACTAAAAAGTCAAATAATCTAGCTCTATATTGCTTAAAAATCATCAACATTGGCCTACTAGAACAAAATATATTAAAATTTAAGGATTTTTTTTTATTTTTTAGGTTTATTGGTGCCAGTAAGTGTATATCAAATCTCGTTTTTTTATCCAAAAAAGTAAAAAAGTTATAGCCACTTTTAAAAATCACCCGGTATTATTGAATACTTAGTACAGAAGACATGAGTTGATAAAGATGTCACGTCGCGTTTTTTTTAAATCAGTTTTATTTAATATTTCAACTTGTTTCCATTTTGACTTTGACAACTCAATTATTGATGTTCAATTTTGTGTTAAACGTTCAGTTTTAGCAAAAAGCAAAAAATAATATTAATATGGGTGATTCTGATTATGAAAGTGTCCCTTCGGATATTGAAGGCATTGCGCAAAACGTTGTCGATTCCCTACTTCCCGAAAAATCAAGACAAACGTACGAGCAAGCCTATGTAAAACTTGAAGATTGGTGTAAAGGGAAAGGAATCAAGAATAGTAGTAACGAAAAGGTTCTCCTGGCATATTTTGAACGTCTTTCAAAACATAGGAAAGCTTCATCACTTTGGGTATATTATTCCATGCTACGTTCAGTTATATCAGTGAAGAAAAATACAGATATCAGTAAGTACGTCCATTTAATTGCATTTCTAAAAAGAAAATCGGAAGGATTTCGGTCAAAAAAAATCGAGAATTTGAAGAAAAGAAGACATAACTCGTTTTTTGTTGGAAGCCGATGATAAAACTTATTTCCTGACAAAAGTTTCATTGATAGTGGGACTTGCGGGAGCCTGCCGGCGTATCGAGTTGACAAATCTGCAGCTGCAAAATGTTAAAGATGAAGGTCAATGCATTCATGTCATTATTCCATTTACGAAAACAAAGATATCACGAGATTTTTTTATAACGAAAGGGAATGTTGAAGGAATAAATATAGTGGAAATGGTTCGAAGATATATATAGCTATGCGGCCAAGCAACACAGAGCATACTCGATTTTTTGTGGAGTACAGAAATGGAAAATGTATTAAGCAACCCGTTGGCATTAATACTTTAGGGAAAATGCCGTATAAAATAGCATTGTTCCTAAGTCTTCCAAATCCACAACAATACACTGGACATTGTTTCCGTAGATCTTCTGCGTCGTTGCTTGCAGATTCAGGAGTGGATTTATTAACTGTTAAAAGACATGGTGGTTGGCGCTCTAACACAATTGCAGGGAGCTATATAGAAAATTCCAAAGAAAATAAAAAAAAGTGTCATGTAATATTTTGGGTAACATTTCTGGCAATGATGGGTCTTCGACAAGTTCAAGCACTCAGGAAATAAATTTACTTTCTGAAAATTCAACTTACCTGTCATCGTCTGGAATTAATTTAATCAGTTGTACTAATGTTATAATTAATGTTTACAATAAATAAACGTATTTAGGTACCTTTTTTTGCTTGTTTCTTATTTTAAAATTGCGTGTTATTATGAATTCATAATATCACTAGTGCTATTATGAAAGCCATAATAACATCCAAATGACAATGTTAAATTATATACATAATGACATACATTGTCGTAGATTAATATTATTACGTTACAGTGAACATTAATCTAATAATACTAATACCAATTTCTACACAAACAAGATTAATAGTTCCATTCAATATACAAGCTTTATTTATTTACCTCCAACTTTGCCAACTTGATATCGATGCTCAACTTCTCCACTCTCAGCTTGGCGGGCAAAGTAAACTTCAAGATGGTGGACGTTCCCAATTTCAGACCAATTAGGTTCAACCTGGAAACGTAATTTTACCGTTTCATAATATGTATTAAAGATCGTATATGTAATACGTGTAGGAAATGGTCTTACCAAAAGGGCCCGTCTCCGTAAATGACGAAGTTCTTGCCAACTTTTCCGTCGACTTTATACTTTCCGGTCACTTTGATGTAGGGAAACGTCAGATTTAGATCCAGCTTGAATCTGAAATAGTTTTAAAAAGATTATTTTTCTGATTAAAGTTTTCATTTCATAAGTGAGTCAGTATTTCTTTTTGCAACTTTTTTTAACTTTCTTTTCAAATGTCCTAAAAAACTACAAATGAACCAAGAATATAAAGGTACAGAGAATCAGTCTCGACGAGTTTTCATCCAAAAATTGTCTTATGCTGTAGTACCAGCCATGTTCGCACGTACGTCTACAGGGGAGATCAATAACTAATAATAACAACTTCTAACTTCTTCTTCTTCTTGTTTTTTTCTAATTAAATATGCGATAGTTCAGCAATTTTTGTTTCATCGTATTGATGAAAAATGTCATTATATATACAGGGTGTTTCAAAACAAATGCGAAAAACTTCAGGGGGTGATTCCTTGTTCAAAAGAAAGGGTAGTTTGCTTCATAAACGTTGGGTGAAAAGTCAACCATTAGGGAGATATCGCGATACAAAGATGGCGGAAAAATAATGTTTTTATTTTTTATCTTGAAAACGAAAAGAGATAGACTAATGAAATTTTATGGAAGCATTACTGTTATGAAAACACACTTTCTGATAATTTTCTCACTTTTTTAAAATAAGTGGAAGGGGTTGAAATAAACTACCCCTATCATACTTGTTAACGAAATTTAAAGAAAAATATTATCAAACACATGCAAAAAAAATAATTTGGATAGTTTAGTTTGTTTAGAAACTTTTTTATTTCTTGTTTTTTTTATAAAACTCGCCGATTTGAAATTAAAAAATAAAATGCAAAGCATTACATGTCAGGACAAAAAACATTTTTATTTTTTTAACGATATTATTTTGTACTTTCATGAATTATTACTTACAGAATTAAAAATTGTCTTGGTAAATAATTTTTAAGAGGTTATCGTTCAGAAGAAAATGTAACGATATTATTACGAAATAAAACTGTTTCACAGCAACCCACTAGATTCTTTATCTAAAAATGTTTTTTGTCCTGACATGTAATGTTTTACATTTTATTTTTTAATTTCAAATCGGTCAGTTTTATCAAAAAAAAACTCAAGCTATAAAAAAGTTTCTAAGCAAACTAAACTATCAAAATTATTTTTTTTGCATGTATTTGATAAGATTTTTCTGTAAATTTCGTTAACAAGAATGATAGAGGTAATTTATTTCAACCCCTTCCACTTATTTTAAAAAAGTGATAAAATTACCAGAAAGTGTGTTTTTATAACAGTAATGCTTCCATAAAATTTCATTAGTCTATCTCTATTCGTTTTCAAGATAAAAAATAAAAACATTATTTTTCCGCCATCTTTGTACCGCGATATCTCCCTAATGGTTGACTTTTGACCCAACGTTTATGAAGCAAACTACCCTTTATTTTGAAACCTAACCTCCACTCTATTACCTACCTACTCTATCACCTAACCTCCTCTCTATTTAGCCAGAGATCATCAGGTATTTCTCTATTTTCTAGTTCTTTATCCACACCCTCCCGCCAGCTTCGTCGCGGCCTTCCTCTTTTATTTCTGCCTCGAGGTGTCCACAGTAAAATTTGTTTTGGTATTCTGCGATCGGGCATTCGTTGCACATGACCAAATCATATGAATTGTTTTGTTCTTATGTCGTCCACAATTGTGTGTTCTGCTCCCATAATCTTTCTTATTCTGTCGTTGGTTATTTGTTCTCTTTTCGATTTTCCAGCAGATCTCCTCCAGTAATCCATTTTGGTCGCTAATAACATGTTCTCTGTTCTGCTTTTCAACTGCCATACTTCGCTTCCGTAAGTTATTATTCTTTTCACTACCGTATTATATATGTTCTTCTTATTAGCTTTAGAGTTTCATTGATATCCCACAGTACACCATTCAACATAGATATTGCCCTCCTGCCTTGTTGCATGATGTGTAATAATATATGTAATGTTACACATCTTTTTTTCTTCAATAAAGACGATTATTATTATTATTATTATTATTATTATTTTTAAGCCAAGATATTTATATTTGTCACAGTTTTTTAGCACGGCCCCCCTACAGTCATACATTCAATTTTGGTGATATTTACCTCCAACCCCCATATCTTATACTCCTCTATCAGCTTCCTTGCCATATATTCAAGGTCGTCGTGATCTTGGGCTAGGACTATCTGGTCGTTCGCAAAAAATAGGGTGTACAGGGTGTCCTCATTTATTAGGGGGATTCCCATTCCTCTACACTTAAGCATTTAATAATAAGCACATTTTTGAAAATGTTTGTATTCCTTTTTATAAGTTATTCGGGATTTAAATGGAAGTAGTTTGGATACGGCATTTGTCGCCTCAGCCTGAATATCTGTTGGTAATTTACTTATTTCGTTTTGAGCCAGTTCTGGTTCCAATTCAATCAGCAATCGACACGAATGAGAATTAAAAAATACTGACTCAAAACTGGCAACTAAAGAGACAGCTTTATTTATTTGTCAAATTACATAGAAACCAACGCCAACCCAGCAAAATATTTTTTCTACTCGTAATAAATTCTTTGAAATAATAATTTCTGAATTTTTTTAAAACGTAACTCGCTATGGAAAAAATATTGTTTTATACACGACGATAAAATTGCATTTTCGTCTCCCGAAATTAATTCCATCGCTCGTGAATTAATCTTTTCGGTCAATGGTAAAATACCATTTTATAAAAAATATATAATTTTTTTTTATTTTTTGAACAATTTACCTGAAACTTCCCAAGTCCGTAAATTTTTCCTTGTCCACTTGAAACTTCGATATGTGTTTTATCGTCAAATTCTCCGCTTTCCCTTTTAACCTAAAAAAAGCAAAAGAAAATATTAGCATCGACATAACAGACTTCATTTCCTTCGACGTGTCGTAATGTCTCTTTGAACATCACGTAATATTTAATATCTGTCATTTGCTATGTTTTTTTTACATTCAATAACAACAATACATTTTTGTTCATTTCAAATAAATGAAGGTTTTTTTTCACTTGCAAAATAATTTCCGAAAGCATTTTACGTATTTGTACAGAGTGTCTGAAATTCGAGCTTCATTAATGGAATCCAAGTTTCATTAATGGAATCCAATAAGAACACTTACTAGAAGAAATACGAGATGTTTACAGTTTTTTTTCTATTTACAATTTTGTTTCAAAATTTTAATAACTACCTAAGTAATTTTATTTTTCTTTAGTTTAAAAATTCATAATAAGCAACACCACCATTTTTCGCGGCATGTAAGATATTTCAATATGCGTGCATATGCGTGCCAGAATATTATTATGTATGGAGCACCTGTGTGGAACGAAGCAACCAATATGCACGTAAATAAAAAAAGACTTGAAGGTGCACAGAGAGTCATGGCTTTGAGGGTCTGCTCGGCGTACCGGACAACTTCAACTGAGGCAGCCTTGGTGATATCGGGTCGGGTGCCCCTGCATCTTCTCTCAAGAGAAACAGAACGACTCTTTCTCAAGGGTGAAGTACAAACCAGGGCAAGCAGAGAGATGGAGAGAAACCGCTCAGTGCAGCAGTGGCAGGCAGAATGGGAAGTATCGCAAAAAGGAAGATGGACATATAAGCTCATCCCAAATATAAATATGTGGATTAAAAGAAAGCATGGAGAGGCAAACTTCTATCTTACTCAAATATTGAGTGGTCACGGAAATTTTGGGAGTTACCTGTGTAAAATTGGAAAGAGGGAAGTCGCGGAATGCCGATACTGTGCTGAACCCAATGATACTCCAGAACACACAATGTTTGCTTGTCCAAGATGGGAACAGAAAAGATGTGAGGCACCCATGACGATTGGTGGCAACATCTCCTCAGATACCTGCTTAAAATCGGTAACAGAAAGAAGAGAAAACTTTGAAGTCATCTCAAAACTGGCCCAAAATGTACTAGAGGCAAAATACAGCGAAGAGCAGGGGTAATGAAACAAAAAGAACAGTCCGGCGTCTACTTGAGGAGATGCGTCCAGCGGGTCCAGGTAGACGTGGCAGGAGCGAGGGGGTGATGTTTAGTGGGTAGTGTCCTTCAGGCAGCTTAAGGAGAGATTGAGTCCCATACTCCGTACGTAAAGGTATTTTACATCTCCAGAAAAAAAAAGATATCTCAAATTGCTCATTTTTTTAATAAATGTGAAAATTCATGGAAAACTCTTCAATAGTGCAACATAGACATGTGTTTTTCAAGTACATTATCCAGTCCAGGACGCATCCTTTAGATTATGCACTTCATTTTTAAAAATTTATTAAAAGTATCACATGCACTTAATGCTTTTAGTAATCCAATACATATGCTTATTTAAAGGTACTACATTCATAATATATTAATAATACAGAGTGGCGCCTCTCATACGCCGCGGAGATGGGGATATGTTAAAGACAGTGTTTACAAAACTCGACCAATTAGTGTCGACAACATGAGAGAAATTATTGTAACTGCTTTTCGAGGTAGAACTCTACATATGCCTTTTAAAATGTAAAGATCCTTTTGAAAAGACAATCATTTTATGCAGTAAACAGGAAGGGAAGCATTTTGAGCATTTGATTTCATCTAGCTAATTTTTGTCGCATAATTATAGGTTTATATCTAGTTTTAATTCTGTAATATCTAAAATATGTTTTAAAGGCGTATCTTTTTATTGTCCCTTGTGTATTTTACTCTACAATCTTTAATTCTTGTTAAATTAACAAAAGGTATATCACACAGCCACCTAGATTTGTTCAAATATTAAAGATTTACTGACGCAAAATCATAAAAATTAAAATATCTGGGAAAATCTTTGTCTGAGGGGTAGGCAGCCTTAATAATATTTTAAAGATACATAAATTCCCCATTGAACACCGGAAAAATATACTGGGTGTTCTATTTAAAATAAAGGAGTAACTTGCTTTTAAAAGTGTCCAATGTTCCATATTAATTTTGTTTCTGTCTTTGACCCTGTATAACTTTTCGGGTCAAATTTCAATTTGGTTTAACATACAATGTTTACTGTAATTAAATATTGGGCTATACAAGGTCAACTAAAATTTAGGTAGCTGTTATCTAAATTTAAAATTTACTCTTTATTTTCACAAAATGTGAAATATGTCAAAATCCTTAGATTTTAGGTATATGCTTTTTCAATAAAACTCACCTTTATTTTTTTCCTAAAATCCGAAAATCAATTAATATATAGGGTGTTCCATTAGAAAAAACACAACTTTGATGTGTAACTTTTTTTGGAAACACCCTGTATAATTCTATATATTTTTATAAAATGCTTTCAATGAACCTACATATGCTGCGAAAATTTCATTTCGATATAAACTACCGTTCTCCTTGGAGCTTCCGCGGCGTATGAGAGGCGCCACCCTGTATATACGAAAATTTAAATTTAAACTTAAGAGTTAAAGTCCTACTATGATTAATAATATTTAAGAAGGAATTTATTATTTATTAACTAATTCAGCATAAATTAGTAATAAATAATAATACATACATGTTTACCATGACAAATATGGCACACAACTTATTAGCTCATTTTATTACTTTTATATTTCTAACCCTGACAGTTTAATTAATGTTTTTACACCATATGCTCAATTGATAACTGTCAAAAACCAGATATATTTATTTTAAGTTTTCAAAAAAATGCATTTTTACTATACTTAGGCAAGCTTTGTTACCCTTGTTAGCGGCAACAGATTGAAAATTATCAAAGATTATACCCAATCAATAAATTGTTTCTATCATGGGAGAAATCAATATCCCAAAGCAATAAAAATTAGTATTTACTTTAGGAAGAATAAGTTTGTAGGAATAGGGACAGTGCCTGACATTACTAAAATTAATTAGAGGAAAAATAATTCTTAAATGTTTGTATAATTTACAAAAAAATGAGATTATTTTATCAGGAATAAAATGCAATTCTGGTTGGTAAAAATTATTATATCTAATCAATAATAATCGCTACCTGCATAATGTATATCTACAACAATACACTTTAACAGGGCAGCTTACATATCATAAAAAACTATCATATTTTTAGGATTTTTTTCATCAAGGTTAAGCAATCTAAATTTTATACGCAAATGTGGTTATGTCACATTCTCTCCAATGACTGCTTGATATATTATTCTAAAATAATATTAACTAGTGTATATTAGCGGTAAATAATAGAATATTTAGCGAATTTTATTTAAAACTGAATATTTATAATAATAATTGGGCAATTAATAATATTTTGTTCGAATCCAGTGATTCATTCATTAATCATTAAAACTGGACTATCAATATTTATTTATAGATATGTCAATATTTTTAGATATAATTACTAGGTAATGAATATAATAAAAGTATAATTTATAATCCTTAAATTTAGATAATTTTATTTCATTATTACTATATGACGTTTAGAGGATTTTATTATATTATTCTTATGTTCCTGATTCGGTGCGTTTTAACTATCATCTTGTGATACTACAAGCAAAGCCATAAAGGCTCTCATGATATGCAGAAGACTGGCCGGAAATAGATGGGGCTGCTCTCCTAACATTTTGCGCTGGATGTATACCATGATAGTAAGACCCATGATTACTTATGGAGCAGTTGCCTGGTACAAAAAACTAGAGCAACGGACGGCAAGGCTAAACCTATGCAAAGTCCAGAGACTAGCATGTGTTTGCATCACAGGAGCCATGAGAACCTGTCCAACAGCAGCAATGGAGGTCATTCTAGATCTAACACCACTGCACATTGTCATTGGTAGATATGCCAATGCGACAATGATTAGAATGGTCACTAACGGAATTAGTACTGGGAGAATTGTCAGATCAGGGGCTTGGAACACCCTCAAAAAGGAAATACCACTCCTGCAACTCCCAGTGGACGATATGCCAAGAACGTACAACTTTGACAAACATGTCAATGTAGTTGAGCAATAAGAAGGATTGGAACAGCGAAACGCTTGCCCAGCAGTTACAAGACCATACCATAACTTGGTATACTGATGCTTCCAAAACCAATACGGGAACAGGGATCGGAGTGTTTGGGCCGAGAGCTAATTACTCCGAACCAATGGGCACTTACCCTAGTATCCTACAGACAGAAATCTACGCTATCGAGAGATGCGTACAACTTATCTTAGATAGGAACTATCGGAAACAAGAAATAGCTATCTTATCTGATAGTTAAGCAGCGTTAAAGGCGATCAACTCAGTATCAATCAATTCGAAATTGGTCAAAGAATGCATAGAGAAGCTGAATAAATTAGGCAAAGAAAACAAAGTCCTCCTACACTGGGTGCCTGCTCACCAAGGGATAGAAGGCAATGAAAAAGCAAATAATCTAGCTAGGAAAGGAGCGAACACTCCACTAACTGGACCAGAACCGTTCTGCTTTCCAAGTGGTAACCAACTCAAGGCGGAACTCAAGAACTTGGAAGATTCCATCCGCAACCTGGAATGGAAATCTTGCAATGGTCTAAGACACTCGAAGAAGTTTCTGAGGGCTTATGATCAAGAAAAATCACAGATCTTCCTGGGTCTGAGTAAGAACAATCTTCGGATTGTCACGGGGTTTTTAACAGGACACTGTCTCCTCAATGAACACCTCAGTAGATTGAAACTAAGAAGAAACGGCGAATGCAGATTCTGTGGGGAAGATGGTGAAACACCAGTACACCTCATCACTGAGTGCGCCGAGACGACAACCATTCGTGCCATGAATTTTGGTACGATTGATATTGGAGATGGAGAACTACCCTCTATAAAACCGTCCCAGATACTGGCTTTTGTCAAAGCCCTGGGACTGTATGATGAGTTATGATTCAAGAAAGGGGGACACAATGGATCTGTAAGGTCGAAGTGATTAACCCCCCTCCCACTCATTCTAAATTCTAAAAAAAATCATCTTGTGATAGTTAAAACTTCATCTTGTCCATGCTTCCACACCCTATAACAAAACGGACCAGACATAGCACTTCACCATTCTGTATCTAAGGCCGAAGTTCAAGTTCCTATCTGTGAGAAATCTTCGAAGTTTCAGAAAAGTAGATCTTGCTTGTTCGATCCTGCATTGCATTCCTGATCCGGATCCCACGTTTTTCTAGTATTTAGTTTTAAACCCAGTCTTTGGCTTTCATTGTTAACCTTATTTAGAAGGATTTGGAGATATTTTTTGTTATCCACTCAAAAAAGTGTGAGTGGATCGGCATGATTGTTTTAAAATTGAATACCCTGTATTTTAATGCATTTTTGGCTTCCTTTCTGATCACTTTACATAATCCTAAGATATTATTAAAGATGTTTTGATTGTTTCAGAAATATTAATAAATAAAAATATCTTTTTCAATCTTTTTAAAAAAAATATTAAAAATAGAAGAATTGTCGTGAAATCAAAACTATACTAGGTATTTAATATAGGTGGTCTGTACTTACTTTGTTATAAATATCGTAATCTTAAACCATACAGATTTCTTCAAAATTCTATGCCAAACTTTCTAAAATATAAAATAATTTTTTTTCCTTTTTTAATGGAACCGGTAAAAACTGTAAAAAACCGCTAAACATTAAAAAATGTTCATTTTTCAATTTTCCATCTAACAAAGAAATATTATATAGGATGTTCCGTTTAAAAAAACCATCCCGATCGACTCACCCTTTTTTGAGCTACCATGTAGAAGTTAAAATATTTTCCTGAAATATGGCCATGTGGTTTGCACTTGCATATTCTTGTTAGGCTCACACAATGGGTAAAGTTTACAGAATAAAATACAAAATAATAATAATAAATATTCTGTCAACTTTGCAATGGGGTAACTAGACATCGAAACAAGTTGTTTTATGCAAGTTAACTATACATTTTGGCTTGTATTCTTGCAATTAACTATTGGTATTCGTTATATGTATCTAAAAAAGTTAATTTGGGAAAAATACAGGCTTCAAAAAAAAATAACAAGGTTAAAATGGTAAAAAAACTAAATTTGACTGTAATGCTGTAATAATATCTACTATAAATAATGTCCCCTCAAAGCAATGTCTTAAATTTATCCACTCTCTTTTTTATAATTCTCAATTATTTGGCAAACATAATTCTAATTAGAAGTAAATGATTTAATACTTTTATAATAAGGATATCTTATTAATAATAATAATAAAAAGTGTGTGTATGATAATATTGCTGATTGTTATATATTTTTTTATTTACATAAATCAATAATTTATTGCTGTATTACACCTTGACAATTTATATGTACCATTAACTACTATTGGATCATAGTATATTTTTACATCTATTACACTTTTTTTATCACATCAAGTTTCTTTCAATTATCATCAGATTTCTGCATATTATTTTTTTTACAAAGATATACATAGCTAGAGAATATATTATTATTCACAATAACAATTTAATTCTTAGCCAATTCTTAAACTTAGAGAAGAAGAAACGGCGTCAAAGATGACTGTTAATACGTGTGTAAAGACTGTAAAGTTAATCTGCAAACGTTATTTACTAAAAATTGACATAAAATTTGTCAAACCTCGACAACGAGAAGCAAACAGGGACGTATCGCCATCTTTATCCGAGCTCCAATGTAAGGACATCGAGTTGGCAAGTCATCAACTCGAGGGAGAAGAGCCATGGTGACGTCCTCACAATAGGAATTGGCCTCAAATCCAAAGAGGTAATAGAGAAAATTATATATCCAACTTTCTCTATTACTCTACAATTGTCTCTATTACTATTACAACCTCTAATATAGATTCGGGACAACACCAAACCCCAACCGTGAAAGGGTGTATATTCTCGGAGGAGTTAAATGTCCACTCCTCGACAAAATGGGTTGCAATAGACTTTTAAGGTCGCGATGATTAACCCCCTCCCACTCATTCTACATTCTACATACCTAAATGTTTTAATTGTTTTTGAAATTCTTTATTTTTAATTTACATTACAAAAAAATATACAAGGTATCCCAGAAATAAGTGCAAGTATTTTAACTAGTAGTATAGCTCAACCCCAGAAACACGCTTATGAGGTTTTTTTTCGTGAAAAAAAATTTGGAAATTCGGAATTTTTTGAAAAAATTTTTGGATTTGTTTTTATTTTTTAGTTAAAAAACATAATTTGTTGATAATATGGCAACATAGGTAGTAGATTAAATTTGCAAGAAAGAAAATCCAGAAAAGAGCCAGTGGTTCGCAAAATTTGAGCAAAAAATATTTTTTTTTGGAAATTTTCAAAGTAAAATAACTCCGTTATTTTGGACTTATTTGAAAAACGATAAAGAGAAAATATGTTTCTTTTATCAAGATCTACCACGCCTTAAAATACTTGCACTTATTTCTGGGACACCCTGTATAAGAAAATGTAAAAACAGAAAATAAAATATATCTCTGGAGAGATGATTAATTATGATTTAGCCCTTTGAATAAGAAGACTAAGGAAGGAGCATAATGCTATCCATGTATTCATGCATGGTGGGCGGAAAAAGCACTCTAGGGTGGGGATCCTTGTGGGGACAGTTCTGTTTGACGATTCATTTGACACATTTGAATTTGATTTGAAATTTTGTGGATTTGTCAGTCTTTACGGAGCTTATTTTATGTTATTTATTATTTATTCTACTACTGATAGTTGTATAAAGGCAGTAAATCTAGATGGAAATTGTGGCAGAACTTAAATTAACAGTGACACTATCGCGATTTATCGAAAAATAGTTGGTTGTGTAGCGTGCGGTAGATTTCGGCAAAAATCGAGTGAAATAATGGAACAACTTTTCGCTAGTAAGTGACTATATAATATACATACGTGTAATAAACCGATCATTTATGAAATTCACTTAAATTAACTAATTATATATTTTTTCTTGCATTTTTGCTTTTATTTACTACTTGTCAAAGATCAGATGTCAAAGAATTTAGATACGTCAATTTGATTTACCTGCTTCAGTAGCGTATCGGATGTTTGTGTTAATAAATAATTATTATAACTTATCTGTTTTTATTAGAATTTTATATTTTTATAACAATTTTAATAACTACCAACATTTATTCACAACGTAAAATAAAACAACAAATTATTGAGTCTACCCCACGTCTAACCTACATCATAGTTTTACATTTTTAAAATAAAATTAGAACGACACTGATAAACCGGAATTTAAGTCAGCCATATTTGAGGCCCATCGCGGTGTACCTAAGATTTTTGATATGCTCCTTCCTTAGTCTTCTTATTCAAAGATTTAGCCTAATATATTATGACAGTATGATAATAACTTACTTGGCAGCATCATGATTGACGTCAAAGTTGATCCTGTTGACGTGCAGAGGATCCAATACAGGTATGTTAAGTTCGGGAATACCTCTAAGTATAATTCCTCTGAACTCTTCTAACAAAGCTCGCAATCTGTCTTCTACTCGGCCAAAAGTGTTTATCACTCTGTCTACTGCTCTACCAACTAAATTTACACCACCCCGTATAATACCTAAAAAAAAGAAGATTCTTAATATACATTGCAAAAAAAACATATTTTTATAAACAATTTTTATAAAAAAAAACTCTTCTCTGAAAAGCTTTTAATTTATTTTTTCGCAACTGTTTTCAAGTAATAATTGTTAATAACAAACATGACGTTATGTAGTTGACAGTTTATAGGTACAATATGATCGAAAAAACGGCGTCAGCGATGGCTATGAAGAAAATCTATCTATAAATGAAGATCGCTGTCGTATTATATGGAGAGTGTCGTCGAGGACTGTTTTTTCTTAAAAATGTTTTCCTAGTAGGGGCGATAATCTAGTTGGCTAAAATGTAGATTGTGTCACAAATAATGATTGTCACAACCAGTGTCACAAATAATGATTGACAATTAGCTTCATAAACTTTAAATTAATAAACGTATGGGCTTATTTTTTATTGTTGCACTCTAACAGACCAACAAAGCACTTTTGTATAAAGGCAAATTCTATCCAATTAACTTATTTTGATTTCAAAAATACGTATAGTAGATCTATGTCTACGGAATATTGGAACACCCTGTATATTTTATTTAGCAAAGCCCGTCTTTACGGAAACTACTTTAGAGAAAGAAGAATCTATGTACGTAATAAATTAATAATTACGTAATTATTAATTAACTAAATTATTGACCTGCATTACATTTAAACGGATATGTACTATGTTATTGATTCCTTGGACTTGGAATGTGTTTAATTATTAAATCTAAACGACACTTATTAACTAGTTTTACGTAAATGGATTAATTATTGAAGTCAAGGTACAATAAAAAATAATAGAGTATCTATAAAAAGTAACAAAAAAAATTAAAATTTTAAGGCGAACATGTTGAACAGTGGTGTTAGTACCAGATGAAATGGACGTAAAGGAATTTTTCCTTTTACCTTGCGGCATAATTACTGCACTGATTTTTGCCCCAAAAGTACGAGAATTTACTATGGCAAATTCGTACACCCTACACAAAAACATCCCACTTCTGATGTAAGGGATCTCTCAAATAATAATATTTCTTAGGGTTAGCTATCAGGAATATCTTTTAGACAGATAATACTTAACACCATCAAAAAAATGACGTAATATATAAGACAAAAAGGGTTGGAGTGGGAATTAAAATGAAAAACTATTTTGGCTTACCCTGTTACCCTATTGAGGGTAAAACCCTATTTTTTTGTGCAAACCTACCTTATCACAACAACCTTGTGTGGCACAATCGTTGAGAAGCTCATTGCTTCCCATATATTCCTTCAATAAGGCAGAAAGAACATAATATTCAGTTTTCATCAGCAGCTCTCAGAAGCAATCTAAAGATAGACTGAACAATAAAAAGTGATTATTGTTTGAACCCCTAAATCTTTTAATACTTTAGAGTCCAAAGCATTTTTTTGTTATTTATTCTTATAAAGATTTACTTATGTTTGGAAGTTACATACTTCCATCAGATATGTATAGAGATACTTCAGTTGTACAGAAAAAGACAAAAGACTCTTTCCAATCTCACAGTAAAATCTTCAATCGTACCATTAGTCTTTGAGATATGGGTTTCTAAAGTAAGCAACATTTTAGATAACTATTAGTTTTGACATTTTCTTAAGCCTTCCTTCTTAAATCAAGAATATCTTCGACTTTTCTCGGTCGTTGATCCTGAGCAATTTCTTCGAGTGTCTTAGACCATTGGAGGATTTCCATTCGAGGAATCTTCCAGGCTCTTGAGTTCTACTTTAAGTTAGTTTCCATTCGGAAATCAGAACGGTTCTGGTCCAGTTAGTAGAGTGTCTGCTCTTTTTCTAGCGAGATCGTTTGTTTTTTCATTACCTTCTATCCCTTGGTGAGCTGGCACTCAAGAGTACTTTCTCTGCCTAATTTGTCAAGCTTCTCTATATCTACAATCTCTACAGTCTTGTCTAAGATATATCCCACATACTTTTCAAATTGTAACCTTGTATATTTTAAAATTTCAAAAGTATCATTTGTTTTATTTACATCATTCTACAAATAACGTCATCATATTTACTGCGTTCTTTTGCAAGAAGAAGAATGGCACACATTTTTGCATTTTATCAACTTTGTATTCTAGATAGTCGTCCCACGTGATGTTTCGTAATTGTTATTTTTTTATGATTTACATAATATCTTCGTTGCATTGAATGTTAATTGGAATTCTTCTACATAAACAACAGCCAATCTTCAGGAAATACAGTAGTTATATGTAAATTTTAGAAGATTTATAACATTTTAATAGGGAGAGTAAAAATATGTGATCAAAATGTATACAGCTCTACATATTTTATGCATTAGGAAATAAAAATGCTGTAATTTTATATACGCAAACAACTATTGTAACATAATAAAGAAATCCTTGAATTAATCTTAAATAGGTAAGTCAAAATAAATATTTTTATAATACAACATGAAGAATATATAATAAACAATCATAATCATCATCCTTTTCAGCTTATTCAACCATTTCCAATTATGGTGTAGCCTCCCTCATATTTAGATACTCTCCTTGTAGTTGGGTCCATGGTTGGTATTGTTGGCTATGCGGGCCCAAGATATTCCGGCTAATTTCCTAATATCATGGTCCCATCTCAGGTTCTTCTAGGTCTTTTAATTCTTCGTGGGTACCATGCTGTAATTTTTGTAGTCCATTTGTTGTATTTTCTTTTTGCCAGGTGTCCAGCCGATTGCCATTTTAGGAATTTGACTCTGTGGACGACTCTATTACCTAGACGCTGTACAACTTCGAGAACAAGCGGCTTCAGCACGATTGATTACATTCATACTCTAACAGAAACTATCAGCCAAACAAAAGAATACGAACTTCCACTAATCATAACCTTTATAGACTTCGAGAAGGCTTCGACACGATATAACCTGGCAATAATAGAAGCCCCAGCGAAACAATGTATTGACAGGCCTTATATAAAAACTCTCTATAAAGAAGAAAACATTCAACGATTCGACCCATGTGTACCTACTACCAGTCATGGCCTATGCATGTGAAACCTGGACACTTAAAACGGACATCATAAGGGAACTGCGGATCGCAATGGAACGAAATATGATGGGAATAACCAAAAGAGACCGTAAAATAGTAGATAGAGTAAATACGACAAAAGACCCAAGTAATAAACAATATTAAAACAAATTTCGAAACAAACTATATGTTTTAATGATAATTTTCTAGCTATAATTTAATAGTTAAAACAATAATTTAATGACAGTCGCGCAGATGTGATGAGGAAGCTAATCGATGAACTAAAAGCAGAAATTAGGAATACTTATAGATGCAACAGACACAAAGTCTTTATGAATATAGTAAGTAGTATACAGCTAGCTCAAAAATGCCAGAAGACGTTGGAATGGAATAATAGACCTGAAACAAGGAAAGCCATTCCTTGTTTCAGGTCCACGTAAGCCTTTACAAAGATATCTCAATTACAGGTGGGAATAACCGCAATCCATTATTGTCTAGAGAAAGAAATAATAAGGCAGAAAGAACATAATATTCAGTTTTCATCAGCAGCTCTTAGAAGCAATCTAAAGATAGACTGAACAATAAAAAGTGATTATTGTTTGAATAAACCTTTATAATATAACTCTAAACCTTTTAATACTTTAGAGACCAAAGCAAATTTTTGTTATTTATTCTAATAAAGATTTACTTATGTTTGGAAGTTACATACTTCCATCAGATATGTATAGAGATACTTCAGTTGTACAGAAAAAGACAAAAGTATTTTAAGTTAAATAGATGAGGTAAAAATGCCGCTGGACCAAGAGCTTCTAAGAGAAGGGTTCTAGTGGGGGTCATTCACTCTCAACTTCTATATGCTGCACCTGTATGGTACAAGGCAATGGAAAATAATAAATATAGGCAGAAAATAAACAGTATACAGCGTACAGCGGCTATAAGAGTCAGCAGTGCCTACAGAACCATTTCTGCAGAGGCTGTTCGCGTTATAACGGGTATACCCCCAATGCATCTCTTGGTTCAAGAACGAGTTGAAACCTACCAAGGAACTTTGAAAACTGAAGCTCGAAATAGACTATGGATAAAATGGCAAGAAGAATGGGTCAACGGCAAGTATGGAAGGTGGACGTATAGTTTAATTCCTAATATTAGAGAATGGATAGAGAGGCCATATGGTGAAGTAGATTATTATACCACCCAGGCCCTGTCGGGCCATGGGTGTTTCAAAAGTTATCTATTTAATCGAATGAAATCACCAACAAACCACTGTGTATACTGTAACGAGTTAGATGATGCTCAACATACCTTGTTCGAATGTCCAAGATGGTCGGTGCTAAGACATCAGTACTATATAGCTATGAACATTCCTTTTACAGCAGAAACTATGATGAATAGCCTGAAAGGAGGAGAAAAAAAACTGGACTCTGGCCTATACAGTGATAAGAGGAATCATAAAAACTAAAGAGGAAGAAGCACGTAGAAATACGTAGACAGTCCTCACGTCGAAGAAATGTGAAAGCGGTACCGGCGTGAGGTGTCGTAGAGAAGGGGAGGTGGTTTTAGTCAGTAGGAATCTGACACTCCGTCTTATGCAAGATTTCCTCCTCCTCTATAAAAAAAAAAGATGAGGTAAAATACCTCATCAGTTAAAAGAAGGCGGTATATTTCGAAGAAGAATATCTGGATAAATAGGAACAAATTTGAATTCAATCATTTTTTAGTTGGGGAACACACTCATACCACTTTATCACAAAAATTTCATAAAAGTTATTAATAGTTTCATATCTACTGTATTTTTATTATAACTGAGGAGGTGGGCTTCATACATTCATATTTCTCACAAATTTACTTCTTACTACAGATATTATTTATTCAGAATTATTTTAAATAATTAACTTTCAATATTATGGGCTATTTTTCTGAAAATATCGTGCCTTTCAGTTGACGTTGCTCCAAATACTAATGCAAAATGTACATGGTTAATTTTACAATAATGTTTTCCATGCAGATAAAATGTTGTGTTTAAAAAAAAGTAATTTAGAATACCTATTTTACAGCAATTGGCAGTAGCTATATTGATTAATTTAGGATCAAGTATTATATTATATTCAATATACATTTAAAAACATAGCTTGTTATATTTTCTAGTTATAATTGTTTAGTATTTAATAAGTAGATTTACTGGAAAATAAATAGTTCTGACTTCACTTTGACTATAAATAGCGACTAATACAGGGCGAGTCTTAAATAAGTGCAAATATTTTCAGGGCTGGTAGATCTCGATTAAAGAAACATATTTTATCTATACCATTTTTCAAATAAGTCCAAAATAACCGAGTTATTTAAATTTGAAAATTAAAAAAAATATATATTTTTTGGAAAAATTTTGAGAGCCACCGGATTTTTTCTGTATTTGCATCACTTTGAGTAACCATAGAGAAAAGCTGTAACTATGATAATATCCTTAGATGAAGAATAAAATCAGAGATTAGGAAAATTTGCGATGAACAGGTAGTTCTAAAAAGTCCTCGAAAAATATACAGGGAAATTTAAAAGAAAATGCACGATTTTCAACATCTTTTTTGCGAAAAAAAACTTCATAGACGTGTTCCTGGGGTCGAAATATACCACCCCTAAAAATATTTGGACTTATTTAAGACTCACCCTGTATAGACGCAGGGAGCGTAGTCATAGCCAGCAAGAAATTATCTTCTGCAAGATACTTAAAATAAGACAAAACAAAAACTGACAAAGTATATTAATTAGTATTTATTTTTAATTGCATTAAGCAACTCTCATCAATAATTATTGTCCATGAACTCAACCTTTTACAAAGATATCATGGCTAAACTGCTGAATAATAGGGTTCTTCAAGCATGAATTTTAGATGCGACATATTTTCTTCTATTTTTAATACCTCATAATCGAAGAAACAGCGTCAGAGATGGCTTGGAAATAAAGAGCGCTGTTTTATTTTATGTAAAAAGAATGTCATCAATCGTCATTTTCACGCTAATTGGGCGCCGTTTTCTTCAAACATGCGGTATTTAATCCTTATAAAATCGATTAGTGCTTAGTTTTCTGAATATACAGTATAGTTTATATTTTTGACAGTTTTGAAATTCGATTGCCTTTTTTATATACAGGGTGAGTCTTAAATAAGCGCAAATACTTTCAGGGGTGGTAGATCTCGATAAAAGAAATATATTTTCTCTTTACCGTTTTTTAAATAAATCCAAAATAACCGAGTTATTCTACTTTGAAAATTTAAAAAAAAAGAGTTTTTGCTTAAATTTTGAGAACCACTGGATCGTTTCTGGGTTTTCTTTCCTGTAAATTTAATGTACTACCTATGTTGCCTTATTATCAAGATATAAGTTTTTTTTAAACTAAAAACTAAAAGAAAATACAAACATTTTATCAAAAATTTCCAAATTTTCAAAATTTTTTCGTGAAAAAACCTCATAACCGTGTTTCTGGTGTCGAAATATACTACCTTTAGAAATAGTTGCACTTGCTTAAGACACCCTCTATATTTGTTTAAAAATAAGTACTAGTTTAGTAGCTTGAACCTCAGAATGAAGTTCAGGATCTCATCATATTAATAAGGCTAAAAACTAGAAACGCCATACACTTAGACAAATGTTTTTCTATGACTTACCAAAATTTTTCAATTAGATTACAAGTAAATATCTAAGTAGTTCGATAATGTATCAATTTCAGATTTTTGTTACGGATGAATTATTTATTAGTAATAAATATAGCGAAAACAATTGAAATTTTATTTGGTTGATCGATAATAAAATTACATTAATATTACTTCAAACATAAGTTTATTACATTAACAGTAAATTCAGTGAATAACTTAGATAAACTATGATACCCACTGAACAGAACACAACTGCTCTAGATTTGTTAACTAAATAATATAAATTTATATCTTTTTATTTAATTTGGGGACAAACAGGGCATAACTATACATTTTATTGCAATTTAGAGACTTTTTTGAATATAGGAAATAAAAAAAGTCTCTAGATTGCATGGGTGATATATTTTTGTTCATTTTTTTTCACTGGTAATCTCTACCATCTCTCTGATCTTTACCGGGTGGTGCATCGTCATTGGGAACCTAAGAAATTCGATGCAAATTTTGAATTGTCCAAATATTGGCTCCCATATTAACTGTTAAGTTGTAAGTTGGTTTCGAGGTTGGTTGATGTTGTTTGATGTGATTTTTAAGGTACCTATTTGTGTTCATGTTTACTGATCATGACTTAATAATTTGATATTCTTTCATTTGAAACTCAAATTTTTATCGGTTTTACTTTTGAGAACCATCTTGCTTGCTAATTGACGAACTCCAAAATGGTTGAACGAAAATATTTTAGTACGTTTCTGGAAACTCGAATTAATACTACCAATTAGGGTTCAGATCTTTTTGGCCATCAAAGAATTTGTTAAGAAATTGTTACGTGAGAAAGTCTTTTGATACTTTCTAGCGATCGAAATCAAACTCTTCTAAATAATATTGTTCTTGCTTCTTTTCTCTTCTGAAGTTCATTTAATATTGATTATGTTATGTTTTAATAGATATTTGCATTTTTAATTCAATATTTTAGGGCTTTTGTCTCAAATTCAGTTAAGTTGGTTTATGTTGTTTGATGTGAAATTTAAGTTACCTAGACAGGTACTTTTTTCTTTACTTGTGTTCATGTTAATTCTCTCATGACTGATTACTTAATAACTCCATTTTAATTTGAAAAACCATCCCTTGCTTTCTGATTGATGAACTGCACCACCAATGAACAAAAATTAGTCAGTACCGAAAGTACAGAAAAAAACGGGAAATCCGGTACCTAAGAGGCGCGGTACCGAAATTTCCGTCTCCGAAAAACAGCTCCGGTGCCGGAAACCCTATTTCCAACGTCGATACACCATCCGGTATAATCTTATATTAACACAGTAAAAAGTAAATAAATAAACATACACCAAAACCAACAGACTCTTACCAAAAGTAGTATTGGACACCCTATTCAAAAAATCCGCCACTCTAGGTACTCTAATGTCCAGTTCCAGCGCCGCGTCACAAACGGTCCAGCAACAAACAAACAAGCACAACGCGGCAGTACCGGACACCAACAAACTGTCCTTCCGCATGTCGAAATCTTTCCGGAAGACCACAGGAGGAAACGAATCGACCGAAGATCGAGGAACCACTTTCACTGGTACGCTCGCGTTCTTCTCGTCATAGTTCTTCGTCTTTTTTCTTACACTTGATTGCGATGTTTTTTATCTTTATGCAACGGAAAGCGAGTACCGCGAGGGGGACACGAGTACTTGGTCGGCTGTGCCTCGTTCGTGTCTAAGTAAAAGTAAAACAAGGTTACGAGCCGGCTGGCGGGCTTCTATGTAGAATTTGCAACAATTCAGTTGTTTATAGAGTGGGAGCAGGGTTAGGGTTCAGTCTGCGGGTACTACACAGACTGTCCTCTTTGAATTTGCAATATTTTTATAGAAAAAATGGTGCTTGTCCTACACAGCACCCTTTGAATTTGGTACTTTTTTATATCAGTCGAAAGCATACACTGTCCGAAAAGGTAGCAAAATAAGCGTTCGGCATTTAACGTTTTATGTAAAACTGGCCAGGTATATGTACATAAATAAAGCAGGAATTTTAAAGATAAAGGATTATACTATATCCGTATTGTAGCACATTTTTAGACAACTTCTTTATTTTTAAAATTTTGATTGTCAAACATCAACAAAATATTCCTTATGTTTGGACTAAATTTTCAAGCAAAAAAAGACATAATTTAAAATTCCGTTACAATACGGAAATAGATTGAAGTTTTGTGATTACAGTGATATATAATTTATATGGTTTTGTAACAAATTGGCTCGCTTGCTGAAGCTCTACAGACCTTAATCAAGCCTTAATCAAAGCACGTCTGTTTTGAATTTTAGGTGTGGCTTAACACGACTTAGATCGGGCTAAGCCTTACCCGACCTTCACCCGCTTTACCCGACCCCTGAGAGCGACGTTGTGAGAAGGTACGTTGACATTTAGCTGGTTTAGCATTGTTACCTGTTCAGTTTTAATTTAAAAATATATGCAGTTTTTTTTAAATTACTTAAAATCGGCTTGTTCAAAATTGTTCAAATTAGGCATTTGTATCCAGCATGTTATTTGACTAAGAGTGGATCCCAGGTGGGACTATTGTGGCTCAGTTCCTACAAGCTGTTTAATAGAAAAAGATCACTAAAGTTCACCCTCAAAACCCAGCCTTTTAACATAGCCCGTTATGTCTGAGGGTGATATGTTTTCTAGGTCTGATAGGTCTAGCGTGGATTTGCCAAACACCTCAAATCTGGTCGTGCCCCCAGCGGAGCAAGTACACATAACGTGCTTCATCGTTTTGTCATCTTCCATACAGAGTCGGCATTCGGCGTCTTCCACCAGTCCCATCCTCTGTAGGTGTGATCTCAGCCGGCAGTGGCCCTTGCATACTGCAGTAAGCGTACGCACTCCGTTCCTACCAGCCTTTAGGAGTTCATCTGCTTTACGTTTGGATGGCCCTGCTAGGATTGTCTTGGCATGTTCCATTCCCAGACTGTCATAAAACTCCCGAAACGTTGCACCCCTAACCCATTCACAGAGCCTGTCTCTTGCGAGATTTTTTGGTACGCTAAGTGTCAGTTCTGGGCCCACGAATGGCGAGCTTGCACCAGTTTTGGCGAGGGAATCAGCACGTTCATTTCCCTCTAGGCCGACATGTCCCGGTATCCATATTAGCGACACTTTGTTCCTATCTTCTAATATATTGAGTAGTTTCTTACAATGAAGAATCGTCATAGACGTGCTTTTTGTTGCCTCAAGTACTTTTAACGCGGCTTGACTATCCGAAAATATGCTTATTGTTTTTCCGGCGTATTGCTGTTCTACCAGCAGTTGCACACAGGTTTCAATAGCATAGAGCTCAGCTTGGAAAATTGTGGTGTATTTTCCAAGACTGTGGTAGATCTCAGTCTTTGGACTGCGGCAGTAAATTCCTGCGCCAGATCCTTTATCGTTTTTGGATCCGTCCGTGTACCAACACATTTCCGCATGTAATAAGCCGTTTCTCGGCTTATCCCATTCGTCCCTATTCGGAAACAGGACGTTGTAGGTGCGCGTCATGAGTTGGATTGGTGGTGTGAGATCCGAGACCATTCCCAGAATCTCATCCGATTGTAGTTCGTCTACTAGTCGGTTTTGTATGAACATGATTGTTCCTTGGCTCTCTCGTGCCATATTTAGAAACCTATATGTAGCCCATCTTGCCTCTCTCTCCAAAAGAATTTGAAGAGGAGGTAAGTCGAGTAGAGTTTCCATAGCTTTTGACGGCGTAGAATGAAAGGCACCAGTCACCGCTTTCTGCCACCAGGCAACTGCGCCATACGTGATAATAGGTCTGATGGCTGTCACATATAGCCAGTACATATTTTTGGGGTTTAATCCCCAGTTTCTACCACAAATTCGGCGGCATGCCCATAGAGCACAGCAAGCCTTTTTTGATAATTTTTTCCAGATGCGAGGTCCAGCTATGTTTTTTGTCCAGGTTTAATCCTAGATACTTAACTTCCTCCGCAAACGGAATTGTCTCACCAAGAAGAATGGGCGGTTTTAGTTTGTATATCCAGCATACGGCTGACCCTTAAAAACCCTATTTACGAATTCTCCGTAAAATTAATAGGGGAGCTAATATCAGGACTGTTCAAAATTTGTATACGATTTCCTGTTTCCAAAACGATGATGCACCACCGGTAGAAAAAAATATGCTTGTCAGATATAATATAAATATGTATATTGAATTTGGTACTTTTTTTATCAGTCAAAAGTATACACTTAAATAATAATTTTAAGCAAAAAATTGGAGGTGGCACACAATTCATCGGATTTATGTCGAAAGGACGCCTCTTGATTTTTGCTACTTTTCAGAAAAGCTAGTTGTAATTATTTTTTAATTCTTGTTTTGGAGATAAGGTCAATTTTTAAGTGAATATATAATATGAAAAAGGTATTTTTGTGGTAATATTGAGATACGCCAATTTGCTATGCTAAAAATGATCTATTGAACATCTCATAAGAGATGAATTTATTGAAAAATGAATTTAACGTGCAGATTTAGGTTATAGAAAATTTTAGGGAGGTTTTTAGATTTATGAGTTTTAGGTATTTAAAACTCATAATATATTTAGTGATATATGTGATATCTACAAGGTGAGTTTTCTAGGATGTTCTCTATGACTATCTCGTAAACTACTGGAGCTAGAGAGTCGGTGAAATGGGTAAAGAATTGCAGTTTTGTGAGGACAAACATATTAACGCTTTGAAATACTTTGAATATGAGTGAAATTAGTCTAAAAAGATAAGAATTGGCTATAACTCAGTAATTTTTCAAACAAAAACATTTTATAACTTATATCGCCAGAAAGCTTTAAAAATGACGTTTTTTATGAAGTTATGGGCAATTATTTGTGTTACCATTTAAAAACATGTTTGTGTCATTTGTCAAAAATTTCAGGCTTTAGAAAAAAACGAAGAACTTTTACAGTGAAAAAACACAATCTCATTAAAGATGGTTTTATCTACAACTTTTAGCTGAAAACTTTTTGTCTAAAATAGATTATAATGGAATTAGGAGCACTTTTAAAATAGCCGAAATTTGTTTTTTTTTTCGAAATATCTATTAAGCCATAAACTTTTTCAAAAATCAGAAAGGCGTATATTTTTGACCTCACAATACTACAATTCTTTCCATGACTGGTAGTACATATTGGTCAAATGTTTCCTTCTTTAGATAAAGTGTCATTCTAGGTTAGAATATGACTGAGTTTCTTCCATGCTAACTTAATTCTTTGGTTGACTTCAACCGAAACACCCTGTATAGAAGCATATATTCAAAAGCAGAAAAAATCAAGAGGAGATCGTTATTACACAATATATAAAAATCCGAAAACTGTAAAAACTTAATTCCGTTCACAATTACAAAGTGAATTATCAATTTTCATCGCGTTATGCACAAACATCGGAGCGTAACAGTGTCACAACGAGGTTACCTCAATAACTAACAAAATATATCCATACATTTTTTTTATTATACTCGCTAAATCTAATTACAATATTTGATTACTGTTTTTTTTTCCTAAGAGATTTAATTACATTTTTGTGGTTAGATATTTTATGGTATCTTAAAAGGAGACTAAGTAGTATCGGCAAAAAAACGTTATTTTTGTGAAATAAAAGAATATAACTAACTAAAAAAATACATATATCTATCTTTCAAATCACCAATGGTCGTGCGTTTATGCAAAGGAACACCATAAAGTTTTTTAGAACAGAATTAAATTATTCTGGATACCGAACGGCATTCAAGACAACGAAAAGCCGATGAACTAGCAAGGCAAGGATCATCAGAATCCTATCTTAGTCCAGACCCAGTAACGAATGTGAATCCCCAAATGTATGATCTTTAGTACAGTTAAAGTCTGGATCATGAAAAAGCAGAATGGCTACTGGAGAAACAGACAAAGGCACAGGCATAGCAAGACCTTCATCCAAAAACCTAATTCTTCAGAAATGTTGAACGCTTATACGACCTGAGCATACGAGGCTTTGGACCTTAAGCTGCACATCGATAAAACTAAAATCATGTGCACTCCCCCTGAAGATCACAACAATGCAAAAAATTCGGAGAAGAACTATTGAAATACACACACCGGAAAAATCTAGAGATATCATTTTATTAAAGTTAAAAATAAATGTTTTGAATAAACAACCACATATTTGTAGGCCGATTCTTTCTACTTCGATTGAAACGAAGTAGTCACACTAGTTATTTCTAAATTTGGGATATTTGCAGAAGTGCTTGTGCATTTTTTGTCAAATGTATAAAAAGCACCTAGCATCAATTGTTCGAATTTAACCTGTACTGGCTATGTTTTTATGATAAATGGCTAGAATTCATTCAAATAACTCTGTTTAGTATTAAACGACATTATGGAGCATAGACATCTTAACAGAGACGAAATGCTAAGGGCCATGGGTATGCTCGAAGCTGGAATGCGCCAAATCGACGTAGCTAGAGCATTAAATACAACGCAAAGTGCATTATCGCGATTAAGTGCACGCTACCGTGAAAGTGGTGATGTTGCTGAAAGGCACACAGGGCGACATCGCATTACTACCCCTCAGCAAGATCATTGTTTACAATTAAATGCTCGACGCCGACCGACTCTTACAGCACCAGAGCTTAGTTTAATTCTCCTGGAAACACATAATGTAACCTTTAGTCCTGACCCTGTTCGCAATAGATTAAGAGAGGTCAACTTAAGAAGCAGACGCTCCTGGAGAGCTCAACCCTTAACGAGAGGAAATCGAGA